GAAGGGGACTCCAAGGAAGTTGTTAGACCCTTGATGATAGTGTGTGGTAGATCCATGGTATTAGTGAAGATGCTCGGTTGATTGTTCATACTTTTCTCACTTCGAAATTTTATGTGGACACGGAGGACAGAAAATTGCGATGCGGAGACTCTTTCGGATCTTTTGGTGTGCTTGACCATATTTAACTTCTTTTTGTTTTTTTTCTTGGTCTTTGACCCTTTTTATTGATATATATATATATATATTTATATAGGTTAAGTCTAACACTCGTACACTGCAACAAATGTAATTTTTTTTTATATTTTTTTTATACAATATCGTTTATTTAAGTTTGTTTAAGTATAATACTCAATATTACATGCATTGAATTGCATTTTTTGAATGTTACACCTAAACAAATCAATTGTTACTTACAAAATCGAAGATGTCACACATAAATACGAGAAAAAATCAAGTATTACGTACAAAATTGAAGATATCACACAAAAATATGAGAAGAAATCAAGTGTTACGTACAAAATCGAAAGCGTCACACAAAAATACGATAAGAAATTAGATTAGCTAAATTGATATGGGTGCCGAACTTAAGACATTTCCCTCATCTCTCTCTCCCACACACATATTATTCTACATAAATAAAGAGTTTCTCTGATAGTTTCAATTTTTAACTATTTAATTTGGTTAAAATCACATTAAATTAAAAAAATATTCAAAACAAGTAAATTCTGATACAAATCTAACAGTAGAAAAATAAAAAATTAGTAGCAGTCTATTTTTATAGAGACCATTAGAAAAAGTTCCACCTAATATAAGGGAACTTAAAAAATTTACATTTTGACAAATTAAGGTTAGGATTTGTCATAATTCATCATAATAGTCATAAACAACCTTACATTTTTTCTTCTAAAGAATCTTATATGAGAAATCACTTCCATAGATAAAATGTTTTGATGGATATACACATGGCGAATTTAATCCATGATCGTATGGGATTGATGGAGAAAGAAAAGTTGGAAGCAGCCAAAAAAAGAGACAAAGAAAATGGGATCTTAAAAGGGATTTAGACAAGATGGAATATCACACGTCTCTTCGGAGAACAGAGAACTGTTGTTCTAGACATTATTGACATTGCCAAAAGATTCTAGATTAAGGCCCATTCAGTTCAGTTTTTTTTAATCTAAGTTGTGATATAATTTTATACGAAAATTTTTTATTATAATAAAAAATTAAATATAATTATTTTTAAAATTTTTTTATTA